GTATAGTAATATTTTTATTCCAGTCTACTTCATTTTACTTAATGTGGTGGTAATGCAAGATTTGAGCAATACTTTATTTTTCTTGAAAAATTGTTATAATTTTTGAAATTTACATTAAGGAAGTGCTGGTGCAGTTATGAACAAATGGTTAAATGCTTATATAATAGTTTTTAATTAAAATACTGCTTCATTAATATATGGGCTAATTCTTTATAAAATTCCTAGAAACAAAAAACTCATACAACACGTGAAAACAAGGTACTTGTGGCGTTTCCCCCATATGTATTAAGAAAAGCCAAGGTTGGTTAAATTATTGCAAATTCTTAAGTCATTTAAAGTTACAACATAGCTTCTTTTAAGTTGATTTGATGTTTCTCTACAATTTTTCTCCATTTTTGGCTTTGACTATCTGAACTTTCAAAACTGAAGTAAAACTTGCTGATATGAAGCTAAATTATCTATACTTACTACTAAGTTTTTGGCTTCACCTAACTTAATCGTTGTTTTTTTTCTCGACGGTGCAACTGATGGAACATAGAACTTAAGCATCATAAATCACTAATAGTGTAATTTGAGTTTCTTTCTTAGGTGCTCTAAATCTAAGTATCCTCACATTAAAAATAGACTAATAAGGAGTAAACAGAATGATTAGCTCAAAAAAACATATCTCATTTACTAGTGAGTAATAGCCTCTCATTAAATGCTGATAAATATTGTTGGTTTTCAATTTCAGCTGAACTTTGATGAGCCTCTTTGGTGGTCTGTATAGCTCATTAGACCACCTTGAACAAAGAAACAACCACATATATGCTTAATGTGGTTTGGTCTCCATCTTTCTTCTGAATTTTTGTCTTTCCAAAAAGCAAAAATAACTACAATAACTTATCTTCTGTTACCAGAGATAACTAGAAATTTACAATGATTTAGAAATGAACAATGATGTGGCAAATGGATTTTGCAAATGGTATTTTAGAGACTCCCTAAACACATTTTGAAAATAAGTCAAAGAATGATTCTAAAACAAATATATAAAACAACAGTGCTTGATATAATCTAATCTTGAAAGAGTAAAAGATTCTGGAAGATATTTATTACACTACTCTGAGGTGATGAGTCATAGTTAAGAAAACACCTACAAAAGCCTCCCTTTTTCACCAAAGTCTGTGCAAGGGTCATGTCGCCCACATTTTGAGATAGGGTCATGATAAACAATTAGTAGGTGTTGTCTTTCCAAATTTTTAACAACAGATTTATTCAGACATGGAAAGCTAGATTTAGAAGAATTGAGATCAAAACCTATCGGTGATTAAGGAAATATTAGTTTTTCACAGATGCAATTTACTCAATAATAATTCATAAAGTTGTCTGTTCATTCTATAATGAAAGACAAACATCAGCACGTAAGGGGAAAGTCAGGGAAAGAAAGCTTCCGTGTTTCTGTTTGTTGCTAACTGGTCTCAGGTTCATCCAGCAGAGGACATTGTATTAAGGTAAAATAAAAAGGTTAGTGTTTTACCTTAGACTCCTTAAGAACACATGCCACGTATATTTATACCTTTGAAACATCCTTTTAATGTTTTCACCATTATCCTAAAATAAATTTCCACAATTTTATGTGACTCATTTAACATGTCTTTTGAAAAATAATCTCAATTGTCTTATTCGATTTATGTTGACAACATAAGATTCTTACTTAAATTAACTGCCGTATCCACATCCCTGCATTTCCTTTTCTTTTTCTTTTTTAAAGAAGCACAGCACTAGGTAAAAAGTTCAAACAAATCATAACTAATCATTAATACATCTGTATGACCTGAAACAATGCTTTCATATCACTTCTTATCTCAAGTGTGGGACATAAGTACGTATTGATAGCATACCATCTTTCATGGTCCAGGCTTCCTCATCTCCAGTGGCCAAGTTTTGATAGGAAAGAAGAAATAGAAGAATTGAGTAAGAAAGATAACTTCTTTAGTTAAAGACACACACAATGAAACACATATCAACTGTGGTGCTAATACATATCTATCATTCGTCTAACTCTGAACATATTTAACATATTAATGCTAAATAAATGTCACATTTAAATTTTATGTATTCTTTTGGTTGGCAGATTCTAGTCCCATATGCTTTTTAAAATTTCTTTTTCACTGTTGCATATTAGGATGAACTATTCTAATATGCAAAACTGACATCTCAATTTTTGTGTATTCAAAATTATAAAACTCATATTTTTGATGTCAGAAGAGGTAAAGGTTTAACAAAATCTTAACTTGTCATACATTTAGTTTCTCTTCAAATCTTCTGATTAAATCTCTTTTAAAATACTAAATAAACCTCCAAAGTGTGTGGATTAAATAGAGTTCTGCTCATATTGGGTCATTTGGAATAGGAGTGGGAGTAGGATGAGGGGAGGGGTAGGGTTGATTCCATATTTGCTTAAATGGATTGTTAAATCAAATACATGAGGTTAGATCATCTAGAAATGAATAGAAGACTGAAAACTCTTTTGTTGGCAATTTCCAAATCTCTTTCAACTTTGACATGAAATATATATGTGTGTGTGCATATGTTTATATATACTGAATATATGTTCCTTTCACTTAGTTTTCATTTTAAACATTTATTTATGAACATTTTTAAACATACACAAAATAGAGGGAAAAGCATAATTAGTGCATGTTTTATATCGAATCAAAGTCTATTTATTGCTACTTTATTTATTTTTAACAAATTAATTATTGCATTTTAACAAAATGCAATTCAACTTGTTTAAAAGGAACTGTCTTATGAAACACTTGAAAGATTTTTGGAGAGCAAATAATTATCTCAAAGAATTTTACTAAATCTCTAACATGTGGACCTAATTTTCTTTTAAAAACGAATGAGAGCCGGGCTCGGTGGCTCAGCCTGTAATCCCGCGCCTTTGGGAGGCTGAGGTGAGTGGACTGCCTGAGCCCGTGGGTTCGAGACCCGCCTGGGCAGGCGAGACCTCATCTCTACAATAAAATCAAAAAATCAACCGGGCATGGTAGCGCATGCCTGTAATTCCGGCTACTCCGAAGGCTGAGGCGAAATGATCGCCGGAGCCCGGCAGGTCGAGGCTGCGGTGGCCGGGAGCGGCCACTGCACTCCAGTCTGGGCGACAGAGTGAGACTCCAACTCAAAAAAAAAATATGAATGAGAAGTACCTGGAGATTTTTTTTTTCAAATTGGTACACTGTGTTTCACAGGAGAAAATATAGGTTAATTTACATATTTTAAATATGAAGAATTAAAATATTCAAAGTATTTAAAAGAAAATTAAATTTTTAGAGAATACTCTAAAACTTTTTTCAAAATCTAAGACAAAAGCAAACATTTCAACTAAATGTAGAATTTTCTTATTAAAATTACTAATGACAGGAACTTTATTTCAGAACATGAAAATATATAATGAAAGTAGTGACATAATATAGTAATGTTTAATCATTGAATCTAATAGTTTTCCAGTCATCATTAAAAGCCGTTAATCACTCATCTCAAAATTAAAAAAAAGAAAACACCATAAAATATCTTCAGTGTGATAGACTATTTTACTCATTATAAAACATGCTAATAATTTTTTATGATGTAGTGTGTTAATAAAATGCAGCCTAAGTGTATATTTCAGACTATATATGTCAGACCCAGTTTTATCCTATTTTAAGAAAGTAATTCTTGGTCAGTCATTTTTCTAAAGGCATTTTTGGCATCTTTTTTATTGAGACTATAAAAAGAAGGTTTGACATAGGTATAATTAATGTATAGAGAACAGAAGTGACTTTATCAATATCCAGTGAATGGCCTGTGTTGTGGCACAAATAAATGAAGATCAAGGTACCATGATAAAGAATGACCACAATCAGGTGGGAAACACAAGTGGAGAATCCTTTTCTACTTCCCTCCACAGAACTACCATGAATGCTTCCCAAAGGACACTAGTTCAGCTGAACTACCATGGGTGCTCTGGCAAACCGGAAATGGGGAATTCTTTAAGTACTCTAAAACAGTTTTTAGAGGAATAAAAAACTTTGCATAGCAAGTAATTCACTAAAAATTAGAATCACCTATACAAAGAAAAGCATCTAGTACTAATGAAAAATTATGTCCATTTGTGAGGAAGCAGTACGGGAAAGATTGTTTAATACTGTCTACATTTTTTTGAACTAAAGAAAGGGATAGAGAACTAAAACATTTGATTGTTGGAAAAATTAACAATGGAAAATTCCATTTTAATTCTGATTACAAGAGCAAGCCAAATTAAGGAATATGCTTTGAGAATAAAATGTCAAGGTTTTTCTATTCATCAAGGCTTCTTGGTGTCTGTTTCATTAGAGTGATCTAAAAATGCTTGCACCCATTTTCTTCTTTCTCCCATAACCTCTCTCTAACTTTGCCTCTAAGAATGAGAAAGGAGCAATCCTATCCGGGCTGTTAGGCTGAAGAGGGCCAAGAGGCCCCCTGTGAGTCCAGATAAAGGCTATATTATTAAACTGCAAAACTTATAACTACTATAAACTTAAGAAAAATTCATTCACTCAGCTTGGCACTCCAGAGACTTAAGCAGATACTTAAAACAATGTTCTACAGCTCCAAGCCCCACACAAACACCTAATTTCTTAATTCTTTATGTATATAATGTTTACCAGTAGCAGCAGTTTTTATGGTAATTAACACTTACACTTAAGCTTTTTTTTTTTTGAAATGACTAGTTGAGAAATGTTCTCAATATTTGTTCCTATGCAGAAATGCTTATGCAAAATAAAATAAGGTTCTGTATTCTAGAGGTAATATAAAATCTACTATTCTCTAAGTAGTAACATCTAGATTATAAATATCAGGCTATTGGTATTTTAGCACATTAACATACTAAAATTATCTTTGATATATGTGTTTCTTAGATTATCAGCACTGATATACAATACATACATACTTTTATATTTCTATTTTTGTCTTACTTCATTTCTCCTCTCTTTCAGATTATGCTTAGAAGATTCTGCAGCAATTCTTGGTACTGGATATATTCCAAATCTCTTCAATGTATGACCTCCTGGTCCACTGCATTCCAGCTTTAACTTATTTGTGATCCTTTCCATCATTTTACATGATTTGCAATGGTTACATGAACTTGGGGAAGTAATATTTGCACCATCTCATACTTTACTCACTATGGCACTTTAGGAAAAGAAATTGGAAAAAAAATTTCCAAAGTATTATTTTTAAAAATGAATCTTATTGTGAAGCTTCGAAGAAGTTTTCGAACATTGATTGTTCTCTTAGCTACCTTTTGCTTAGTGAGCATTGTCATTTCTGCCTATTTCCTCTACTCTGGCTACAAACAGGAGATGACTCTTATTGAAACCACTGCAGAAGCAGAATGTGCTGACATAAAAATTCTACCATATCGTTCGATGGAGCTAAAAACTGTCAAACCTATTGATACATCCAAAACTGACCCAACTATTCTACTCTTTGTGGAAAGCCAGTACTCTCAACTCGGTCAAGATATCATAGCTATTTTGGAATCCAGTAGATTTCAGTACCACATGGTAATTGCCCCTGGCAAGGGAGACATACCTCCTCTTACAGATAATGGCAAAGGGAAATACACTTTAGTTATTTACGAAAATATTCTGAAATATGTCAGCATGGACTCATGGAATCGAGAGCTTTTAGAAAAATACTGTGTGGAATACAGTGTTAGCATAATTGGTTTTCATAAAGCCAATGAGAACAGCTTACCAAGTACACAATTAAAAGGCTTTCCTTTAAACCTTTTCAACAATCTAGCTCTAAAGGACTGTTTTGTCAACCCTCAGTCTCCTTTGCTGCATATTACCAAAGCACCCAAGGTTGAGAAAGGACCTCTTCCTGGGGAAGACTGGACTATTTTCCAATATAATCATTCAACCTACCAGTCTGTACTTTTAACTGAATTACAGTCAGAAAAATTCCTTTCATTCTTGTCTAGCAAAACACCCTTTGCAACAGTGATTCAGGATCTGGGGCTTCATGATGGAATTCAGCGAGTACTTTTCGGCAACAACTTAAACTTTTGGCTACACAAGCTCATCTTCATAGACGCCATCTCCTTCTTGTCAGGGAAGAGACTGACATTGTCCTTGGAGAGGTACATCCTTGTGGACATTGACGATATATTTGTTGGGAAGGAGGGAACAAGGATGAATGTCAAAGATGTAAAGGTAAGAACATTTATAAATAACATCATTTGTGTCACCGTGTAGTACTGATAAAATATAATTTAAAATTTTTTCTAGATTCTCAATGACCAAATTTTAAGATGCAGTAGGTTTTAAATAAAATAGCCACAATCTTGAACTTTAATCATTCCTCACACACAATATGCACACACCAGAAGCTTCAGAATGGGACAGAGCAAAAATATCCCAAAGAGTAATTAAACTTAATCTTCTTGCCTCTTCTTAAACTTTGCCCATCCCAACTAGAACTTCTTTGAACTGCCTCCCTTATTCTAATGTATGCTGCAGTTTGTAACTGTGAGACTAATATAATCATAGAATTCTATTTCTAGGCCAATCACTCTGCCAAACTTGGGTTAAAAATTTTGGTTAAAATACAAAATGGAGAAACATTCCAAGACCTTCCTATAACCTCAAGTAAGCAAGGTATTTGCTTCTATGAAATGTTCATACACTTGTAAGTATAGATATTATAAGACAAAATAGTTTTATAGGAAATGTGATATTGGGTTTGGCCTTAGGAGGTTTTCGTTATTATCTCTATTATTAATTTATCACATTACTTTAGGTAACACCACAGTGTTACTGGTAGCACTTCTAAATTATGATCAATTGACTGCATAACAGATTCATCCTGTAATAGCAATTAAATGAAGATGAAGTCAAATATATTATAGTAGATTAGTTAGGTAATTCTGAGAATTACTATTTTATTAAATCTTGATTCAACATTCTCAACTGATCCTTCATTTGTACCCATCTCATCTCATATATAACCAAATTAATTTTTACATATATGATTTTAACAGCTAGACAAAGATAATAGAATACAACTTGTAATTATAAAGAAACTAAAGATTGTTAAGATCTTGTCTATTTTTTAATCTTCTGTTATTAAAGCTGTTTATCTTCTAAAGGTGAAACTTGGATACTGTTTCAAAAGAAAAAATTCTTTCTTTTTAAATTCTAAGACTGATGTAATATTACATGATTAAAACCAGTATAAATAAGTTCACTCTTTAAAAACCTTCAGAGTTGTGAACCAATGAACTGTTTTTAATAATCTACTGAAAGAAGCACCACTTGACTGTGGCCCAAATATTTCCCTTAGAAATTGCTACAAAGAGATGAAGTGACCACAGTTGAGTTCTGTCTAGATTTTCTCCTTACATTTTGGTATTTATTATTCATTTAATTAATACAAATGCTGCCTTTATTTTAATTTTAAAAACATAAGCTTATAAAAAAGCTATTTGTTTCAATAGGTTATTGGTGTGGTTGGTACCTGTTCTGAAACCCTAACAGGAGTGCTTCCTAATCTTAAGCTAAGGAACAGTATTAATTAAAAATTTCTTTATAGTTCTAAACGAATTTGACCAGCTCAGATTCAGCTATTTCAGTGGCATAACCCCAAGCAGAATAATAGGATACTGAAACTTAATAAAGGATTGAACAGTGTCACATGTGGAAAATCAGAAAGGCCATGCACATATATAGATATTTTTTAGTATGTGTATGCACATGTGCATATGGATAGAATTATACATTGTATATTAAGTAATATCATTTGTATTAATGCAAATATTAATTTAACTGCACTTATAGTTAAATATTTAAATACTCTTTATGTCTCCTTTTGTTGTTCCTGATATAACTCAGAAATATTTTGTAAATGACAAATAAAAATTATGTATATATATATATGCACATATATATATGCACAGCATGATGTTTTGAAATAAGTATACGTTGAAGAATGGGGAGATCAAGCAAAATATCATAGGAATTATCTCACATTCTTTTTTTTCTTTGGTGACAACATTTAAAATGTACTTTCTTAGAGATTTTCAAGATTGCAATACATTGTTATTAACAATAGTCACCAGATTCTTTTCAATTTTTTATTCCTATCTAACTGAAATATCATGTATATTAAACATCTCTCTAACTCCCTCACCTTCAAGCCCTATTAACTACCATTTAACTCTCTGTTTTTAAGAGTGCATATTTTTTTTCAGATTCCACATATGAGTAAGACTAACAAGTATTTATCTTTCTGTGCTGCCCTATTTCATTTAACATAATGTCCTCCAAATTATCCATCCAGAAATTACAAGATTTTTCTTTGTTAAGACTGAAGAATATTCCATTGTATATGTACCGTATTTTCATTATTCATTAATAGACACATAGGTTTATTCTGTATCTTGACTATTGTGAATAATGCTATAATAAACAAGGAAGTGCAGTTATCTCTTTGATGTACTGATGTCATTTCTCTTGGCTGTATATCCAGTAGTGGGATTACTGGATCATATAGTAGCCCTTTTTGATTTTTTGTGAACCTCCACACTGTTTTCCACGGTGATTGCACTAGTTTATATTCCCACCAACAGTATGCAAGGAATCCTTTTGCTCCACATCCCTACCAAGACTCATTTGTCTTATCATTTTTTATAATAGCCATTCTAACTGTGCTGAGGTATCTCAGTGTTGTTTTGATTTGCATTTTTCGGATGATTAACAATGTTGAGAACTTTTTCATAGACTTATCGACCACTTATATATTTTCTTTTGAGAAATATTTATTCATAGTTTGCCCATTTTTGAGGCAAATTATTTGTCTTTGCTTTTGTTTTTATTATTGAATTACATGTGTTTGTTATATATTTTGGGCATAAGCCTTTTATCAGATGTATGATTTCCACAAATTTTCCCCATCTCTGGGTTCTCTCCTTAGTGTTGTTTTCTTGACTGTGTAGAGGCTTTTTAGTTGATGAAATCCCAATTGTCTATTTTTGCTTTTGTTACCTTGTGCTTTTGGAGGCATATCTAAACAATCTTTGCCTAGACCAATGTCATGGAGCAGTCCTCTTGTTTTATTTTAATAGTTTTATGGTGTCGAGTCCTACCATTAAGTCTTTAGTCTATTTTGAGTTAATTTTTGTATGTGATACAAGATAAGGATCTAATTATTCTGCATATGATATCCAGTTTTCCTACTGCTATTTATTGGAGACTATCCTTTCCCCCATTATCTGTTCTTGGAAATTTTGTTGAAAATCAAGTGACTATAAATATGTGAATTTGTTTTGGGGCTCTCTATTCTAGTTTGTTGGTCTATGTGCCTGATTTTATGCTGTACAATGCTGTCTTGATTATTATAGCTTTGCAGTACATTTTGAAGTCAGGTAATGTGTTACCTCTGACTGTTCTTTTTTCTCAAGATTGCTTTGGCTATTCAAAATCTTTTGTGATTCCATACAGAATTTAATATATTTTTAAAACATTTTTGGGAAAAATGTCCTTGGAATTTTGGTAAGGATTGTATTGAATCTGTAGATCACTTTAGGTAGCATGAATATTTAGCAACATTTATTTTTGTAATCCATGAGAGAAAATTTATTGATAACTTCTTCAATTTCTTATATAAATATTTTATATTTTTCAGTATATGTCTTTCATCTTTCATTTCATTAAGAAATAAAATCCTTAAGTATTTTATTTTTTAACTATTGTAAATGGGATTTTTAAAACATTTTTTCTCAGATTATACTTTTTTGTTGATTTTGTATCATAAAACTTTGCTAAATTCATTTATTAGTTCTAACAGTTTTGGAGTGGAGACTTTAGGGGTGTGTGTGTGTGTGTGTACAATTTAAATTCTTCCTATCCAATTTTGGTACATTTTATTCTTTCTTATACCTAATTGCTCCGTCCAGAACATCACTTCTATGTAGATGTATGTGGAGAGTAAGTTTTTCTTTTTTATTCCTGAGCTTAGAAAAAACTTTCAACTTTTCGCTATTGAATATCATTTTAGCTGTGAATTTATCATATATGTTCTTTATTGTATTGAGATGCATTCCTTCTATACCTGATTTACTGAGAGTTTTTTTTTTGTCATGAAACCTTGTTGAGTTTTATCCAATGATTTTTCTGCATCTATTGAGATGATCATACATTTTTTCCCTTCATTCTGTAAATGAGGTATATCATATCTATCGATTTGCCTATATTGAGCTATTCTGGCATTCCTCTGTAAATCCCAGTTGATTACGGTGAGCTATTTTTTTAATGTGTTGTTGAATCAAGTTTGCAGGTATTTTGTTAATGACTTTTGCATCGATGTTTATCAGGAATGTTATCCTGTAATTTTCTCTCCCGAGTCTGTGTTTGGTATCAGGTAATACAGACCTCATAAATTGAGTTTGCAAGGAATACTGGCCTCATAAATTGAGTTTGCGAGTATTCTGTCTTTAACTTTCTGCAAAGTTTGAGAAGAATTTGTATTAGTTCTTTTAAAATGTCTGGAAGAATTCAGCAATGAAGTCATGAGGTCCTAGGGTATCCTTCCTTATTATATATCTGTTCAAATTTTCTATTTTTTTTGTGAGTAATTCTTGGCAGGTTGCATGTTTCTTAGGAATTTATCTTCTAAGCTATACAATTTTTTGCTGCGTAATTGTTCATTGTAATCTAATATGATCATTTGCATTGCAATACAGTTGTAATTTACTTTTTGTCATTTCTATTTTTTGTTTTGTTTTATTTTTGAGTTGGAGTCTCACTCTGTTGCCCAGGCTGGAGTGAAGTGGCATACTCTGGCCACTCCATTGCCCACCTGCTGGGCTCTGGGATCCTTCCACCTCAGCCTTCCCAATAACTGGAATTACAAGCACGCACTATACCATGCACGGCTAATTTTTGATTTTTTGTAGAGAGGAGGGCTCTCCAAGTTGCCAGGGCTGGTCTTGAACCAGCGAGCTTAGGCAATTCATTACCCTCAGCCTCCCAAAGTGCTGGGATTATAGGCTGAGCCACTAAGTCTGGCCATCATTTCTGATTTTATTTTTATTTCTTAGTTTAGCTACAGGTATATATATTTTGTTCGTCTTTTCAAAACACCAACTCTTAGTTTTATTGATTTTTTTCTATTGTTTTTCTAGTCTCTATTTCATTTATTTTTACTCTGTTCTATA